TCATCATCATCATCATCATCATCATCATCATCATCATCATCATCATCATCATCATCATCATCATCATCATCATCATCATCATCATCATCATCATCATCATCATCATCATCATCATTATCAGCATCAGCATCAGCATCATCAGCATCATCACCATCATCACCATCATCAACATCATCATCATCATCAGCATCATCATCATTGTCATTCTCCTCCTCCTCCGCCTCCTCCCATCTCCCCATCATCCACCTCCTCCTCCTCCTTCTCCTTCTCCTCCTCCAACTCCACCTTCTCCTCCTCCTCCTTTTCCTCCTCCTCCTCCTCCGCCTCCGCCTCCGCCTCCCCTGAGATCCGACGTTGCAGCAAATATTACCCGGAGACGTACCCAACCTTTTGTACACATGAGGCGACTATACATCGGACCGCTCAATACAAAAGCGAGCACTGAAGCATCCACCGTGCCCTTGAATGATTCGCCAAAAAGCGTCGGGCCAGAGTCACAGGTTCACGTATACGGCGTCGCGCTTAAGAGTCAGATCGTTGGCAGGAAGGCGGCCACGAGGGAGCCTAGAAACACAAAAAGGAGAGACGATTGGAGCAGCGCCGCTGGACCCCCCATGTCGCAACCCAACCCCCCAGGGGACGGCGAAGTCGCATGGTGATCTGCGTAAGACGCAGCTCCGCTGGGCCTCCCAGGAGCCCGCGAAAGTGGCGACAGGCTCGCAAATCGCAGCCCCCCAGGAGACGGCGAGGTCTCAAGACGCACCTCCGCTGGGCCTTCCACGAAAGCGGCGACAGGTTCGCAGATAGCAGCCCCCCCAGGGGACGGCGAGGTCTCGTGGTGATCTCCGTAAGACGCACCTCCGCTGGGCCTCCCAGGAGCCCGCGAAAGTGGCGACAGGCTCGCAGATCGCAACCCCCAGGGGACGGCGAGGTCTCATTGCGATCTGCGTGAGACGCACCTGCGCCGGGCCTCCCAGACCCCCACAAATGTGACAGCCCAGGGGCCGCGAGGTCTCATTGCGATCTGCGGAAGACGCACCTCCGCTGGGCCTCCCAGGAACCCACGAAAGTGGCGACAGTTTCGCGGCGAGGTCTCGTGGTGATCTCCGTAAGACGCACCTCCGCTGGGCCTCCCAGGAACACACGAAAGCGGGGCGACAGTTTCGCAGATCGCAGCCACCCAGGGCCCGCGAAAGCGGCGACAGGTTCGCAGATCGCAGCCCCCCCAGGGGACGGCGAGGTCTCGTGGTGATCTGCGTAGGACGTACCTCCGCTGGGCCTACCAGGAGCCCACGGCACCTCCGCTGCGCAAATGACGATACCCGAGCGAGCCGCGGGCACGAGGCAGGACACAGGCGGGAGGAGAGGGAGAGGAGGGAGAAGGAAGGAGGCAGGAGGAGAAGGAGAAGGACGGGGCAGACGGTGGTCTCTTCAAAACGAGTACCCAACCGAGGGAGGGTTGAGAACTAAAACGTCCCGACAAATCGTACCCAGAGCCTAAACCCCATCTTCCCGCGCCACTTCCCGAGCCCAACCGACATGGGAGGGCCCCCGGGCCACCAAACCAGGCGCAGACGCCCGCTGCGGCAAAACTGCGACGCCCGGATCTCGGGGTCATCCTCTTCCTCCTCCTCGCACCCCCCCCCCTTACGTCATGTTTGCTTGAATATGACGTCGACCCCTTGACGTCTCGGCCCATTCCCCAGGACCGTTAGTTCATCCTGCGTCGTTGAGTTGACGGCCCGGCGGCCCTGCAGGGACCCCCAGAGGCAGAGGGTAATGAAAAGCCTTCCGTCGCGGTGCTTCCACGACCCGAGAGGAGTCTCGGTCCCTGCCTCGTCCTGAGGAGGAGGAGGGGGAGGAGGAGGAGGAGGACGAGGAGGAGAAGGAGGAGGAGGAGGAGGAGGAGGAGGGAGGAGGGGAGGAGGAGGGGGGGAGGAAGGAGGAGGAGAGGAGGAGGAGGAGAAGGAAGGAGGAGGAGGAGGGAAGAGGAGGAGGACGAGGACGAGGAGGAGGAGGAGGAGGAGGAAGAGATGGAAGAGGAGGGGGCGGAGGAGGGGGAGGAGGAGTCCTCCGCGCCCCCCCCGCCGTCCGCTCGGGGCCGCACCACTGGCCTCTGTAGCGCCGATGCCCGGCGGTCGCTGCAGACCTCCCGGGGGCGCGGCGCGCTCGCGGAGGGCGCGTGGACCCCGCCAGCGTTCGCGGTCCAAGCCCCCAATTTGTGCTCGGCTGCGCAAAGGGATGGCCGTTGGCAGGATGGACCTCGACCCCCTCGAGGCATGACAAGATCACGACGGGAGGTGCTCTGCCATGTTCGGCCTCTGGGGGGCCTTGCCGGGCCTCGGGACCGTCAGAGAACGACGCAGAATGAAAAACCGGTGCTGGGGAATGGGTCGAGACCTCTGGGGGTCGACGTGATGGACAAATCATGGCGTCGGGGGTCTGGGTCTGGGGCAGGGCGACGAAATCTACACGTATCCACTGACACCAGTCAGAATGGGCCTGGCCGGTGGCGGTGGACATGCGGAGATCTCGTCGTCGCCCGATAGGGGGCAAGCGAGGGGGGGCAAAGCCAATCGTGCAGGCCAATGCTGGGGAGGCCCCGCCTCCTCCGCCTCATCCTGCACCCAGGGACTTCCTCCATGTATCTGGGGTTCCCTGGGTGCTTAGAAACCACTCCATCGTCCAGGCCACGGTCCAGGCTGAAGATGGGGAAGCTCTCGACGATTTAATTTTTTGCAAGTGCTGTGGGGCCTCGGCGCATCAGAGTGCGCGGGGAGGCCTTCAAGCAAACTGCAAGGGATCAGGCCATACGGGGTATCAGACCCAGAGGTCGCGTTTAAAGCGTGGTTTGTTCCCAGGTCACAACCTGGGGAAGGCCACTGTGGGCACTCCGTTCGGGCCGACAGATGATATGAAGGCTGTTTGGGGTCCTTTGCTTGGCTTTGAGCCTGGTGGGGGTGGTGCTGGTGGGGACGTGGGTCTAAACAGTGATGCTGTAGAGGCGCCAGTTGCGGCCACGGAGGTGCCGCTCCCGACTTCAGCGATCGCTGAGCTTCCAACCTTGTCACCCCAACAGATTGCTAGATTGCACGGTTTCGCTACTCCAGAGGCGCTTGTTGCTTGGGAGAGTGACCAGCGCCGTCGGGAAGTCGATCCGGCTGATTGGGATGAGGAGGATAGCATAGGCTAGCCTCCTGTTTTTGGCCTGCGTGCCAGGGAGTGTAGACCCACCCCGCGTCATCAGTACCCTCAGTACCCTCCTCCCACTCCCCTACTACTAAGTCTGTGGGGGGGACCGCCTGGGAGGAAGAGGACACAAGGAGGGGTGAAGCACACACCTCCGTCGCACCCTCCATTTCCAGGATGAACCAAAAAGGCCCAAAATCCGCCTCCGTACTCCCCCCCTCGTCCTCCTCATCCTCCTCACCATCGCCCTTATCCACTTGTTCATCCTCACAGAGAAGGGATTCTAGCATGCTGGAACCACGTGCAAACGCTGAGAGGGCTCACGCCGGCGACGGCCGCGGCGACGTCGACGACCACGACTGCGGTGAAGACTGCAACGACGGCAACGACCAGCACAACAACGACCGCGACGACACCCCTGACGTCCGCTTCGCATTCGTGGTCTTCGACGACGACGGCGTCTTTGGTCAGTGAGCCCGCAAAGACCGTACGCGCGCAGCCACGGACTCGAATACGGCACCCCAGTCTGTGAGGTTAGCCAGCCTCGTGTTAGGACTGCACGCACAATACAGACGATCGAAACCTAGCAAATGTTCACTCCCGCTCGGTGGCTCCCAGGCCACCCATTGCGCTTCTTCAGTATTCCAGAAGCGTCCCTTCACAGCAAGGGCTCCTAAGTTCGCGCTTCGCGCTGCGCGAAGCGCGAAGCGCGAATAACTTCGCGCTCTCGCGCCGCCCCCCAAGGAGGAGAAGAGGAGGACGAGGAGGAGGGGGAGGAGGAACGAGGACCGCGAAGCGCGAAGCGCGAATAACTTCGCGCCCTCGAGGGAGCCCTTGCACAGGGAATGGAGGGCAAAGTGTCGGCGGCGCGCCTGGGGGGGAAAGCAAAAGGGGCAAACCTTCTCGGAAGGCTCAAAGGCATCCTTCTGAGAGGTCTGCTGCGCCTCCTCCGAAGCCACAGAAAGATGCTCAGAAGGCCGGAGGGCTCCTAACATGCCCTGCCGACTTCTGAGAAGGCCCGCCTGCTCCCAGTTCCCCCTGGGCTCGCTGCCAGAAGTAGGGCATTCGGGTTTTAGGTGGGAATGGTTTGGAGCCCCTTCTTGATTATGACTCGCGATAACGACCGTGACCGGCCCTGGAACCCCTCCCGCGTCACGATTCGCGCCGGCGCCTTCTGGGCACATCCCCACACGCCGACCAGCCACAACTGGGGGAGCTGTGGTCCTTACCCCCTGGGGGACCCAATCGCGTCGACGATCTCTCGAGAGGGACGTCGAAATCGATGGGTCCCCCGGGGGGGTAGACCACAGCTCCCCCAGTTGTGGCTGGCCCGACACGGCGCCGGCGCGACTCGTGACGTGACAGGCCCCCTCCACCCCCTCGCCCCCCTGGTCACGCCCGTCATCGCCAGGGGACAAGATAGAAGGCATCTTGCTGCCGGTTGCGTGAGATGATCGACCCCCAACCCGAAACATCGCGGAGCGGGGGAGGGGAATACCACTCCTCGACAAACACATTGCCCCGATATGTGGCCGCCGCAAGCGCCGCGGCGACCTCCAAAACCGACCCGGAGGTTGGTTCGGGGCCGGATACCATGCAACGATGCTGGGTACGGTCGGACCTAGGACATAATAACATCTTCCAAGAACATGAGACCATCCGCCAGCCAAAACACCTCAAACCATTAGATCACTCGAGGGTACCCTCCCCCAGGATGCACGACAGCATCCAACAGACACGAAGGACACTAGGGTGACCTCAGGCCCTCCCGAACCGACACCGATCTTATACCTCGGCCCAACCGTATCAGTGGCAATTGTGGGGAGACCAAAATGTACCGGTACCGCTACTCCCTGGACCCCTCCTGGGGCGCGTTCTGACCAGGATTTCGAGGCGCATCCGGCGGTGGCGACGAGGGCCTCCCAGGAGGCGGAACGGGAAACGGAGGCAGGGTAGCGGTATGGTTACTCCGGATTCCATAACAAAGTGGGGGGGGTCACATTCGGGGGGGGGGTCTAATTTGAGCTGTCTTGGAGGGATCGGGGGGGTCTGGGCAAATGGCCGCCCTTTGATGGATAATCTGGGGGGTCTAAAACTTCTCGTCTGGGAGGGTTGTGACCCCCTCCCTTTTATTACGAAATCTGGAGTACCTTCTCCTCCTGCGGCGGACATCACGCAACGGTGCTGAGGAGTGGCGATTGGTGGCTGCTGCGCCCGACCCGTCGGCGAGAGCAGCACGCAGTCGTCGCCCAGAGACTCCCGGGCCCGGGCGGCGGCGCCGCAGTCCTCGGCGGAGGAGCCGGGTAGGGCACCGCGCCGGGGTGCGAGGGGGGGGGGAGGAGAGGAGGGAGAAGGCGGAAGGAGGGGGGGGGAGGAGAGGAGGCACACACTTGAGCTGCAACGGGGAGAGGCCGCATTCATATGAAGAGGGGGAGCGACCCCAGCTCGCTGTGGTCGTGGGCAGATGCTTTAAAGACCACGGGCCGTCGGCGACGCTGCCGCTGCTTTCGCGTCGAGCGGGGACTCTGACTCTGACTCTGACTGGTGTCGGGGCCCGCGCATGTGACCCAAGTCCTCAAGCAGAGAAAGACGACGACCACGACAGGCACGACGACGGTAAAAAGGCGACAGCCCGGCTGCAGCAAAGGCGGGCGCCGGAAGGAGGACGGGAGGGAGGGGAAGGAGGGGAGGGGAGGGGAGAAGGGAGGGGAGGGAGGGAGGGGAGAAAGGAGGAGAGACGGAGAAGAGGGAGGGGGGGAGGAGGCGGACCCCCGGCTGACCCACCCTGCGCACGAGGCGCCCACGAGGCGCCCACGAGGCGCCCACGGGCGGTCACCGGGCGGAACCTCGGCTGGCCCATCGGATGCCCGAGGAACCGCACGCAGGGATCCCCAAGCCGCCACCTGAGCCACGATCGAAAACGCATCTTACGCGAGATTGCATAGCGACCTTACGCGAAGGCTTACGTGGGCCACCAGCGCGGCGAGGGCGCTTACGCGCGACCTTACGCGAACAGCTTGCGCGCGAATGTCGGCGCAGACGACCCCGTCTTTTTCCGTCGCCCACCTTGCCTCAAGCACGTAGTGGACTGCCCCAAGGCTCATGCAGCCCTGAGGCATAAACAACCCCGGTTTCCCAGACACTCTTGGGCGCTACCGGGCGCGCCCGGGGTATCTCGCGTGGGCCTCCAGGACTTCCGGGACTGTGATCCAAAATGACCCGAACCAAACGAATCCGTCAGAAACGTCCAGGAAGCTCCAAGAGCGCCCCGAGATGGCCCCAAAGGCCCCAACACTGGCTACGATGCCCTCAAACGGCCCCAGGCGCCTCCAAGACGCCACAAGACGCCTCCGAGAGCACCCCCATGAGGGCCCGTAGGCCCTAAGAGGCAATCCTCATATGTGTACACATAACACATAGATGTACCAGAACCGTCGCGCGCGCTTCGCGGGCGTTCAAGTTCTGGACGAAGTATAGGCAGCGCCTGTTTCACTAACAAGAGATGAAGCATCGGCGGAGCCTGCGTTCGGCCGAACGGTCTCGCATAACTCCAGGGTAGCCGTGGAGGCCTCGTGGGCTTTCTTGGGCTTGTCAAACTGTCGTCGGGCCATCGGCGGAACTGCTTGGCAACCACTGGGCGAATTCGGGAGCATCTGGGTCCATGTTCGGCGGCTGGGGATTCGGGAGGGTGAGAGCACTCGTGTGTGCGGCGAACACTGCGGGAACCGTGGCGGCCACGGCGTCGAGGGCGAGGAGAAGTGGAGGGGTAGAAGAGGGGGATGCGGAACGGGAGAAGGAGGACCGAAGAAGAGAGAGAGAGAGAGAGAGAGAGAGAGAGAGCGAGAGAGAGAGGGAGAAATAAAAAAAACAAGCAAAAATGAAGGGAGGCCCGAGGGCGAAGGATAGGGGAGCTGGAAGCACAGTCTTTGGCACGCCGGCGCTGGGCATGGGCATGAATGGAGTCGGGGTCGAAGTTGGGGCTCCAATGACCTGGTGCAGCAGGAAGCGGGGCGAGGGAAGCCGAAGGAGGACAAGTGAAGGAGAGATGAAGAGGACCGGATCGGATCGACTCGGCAGGAGGACGCGTCAAGCATCTCAGCGCCGTCTGGGGCGCGCCCATTGGCGCGCCACAAGGAGGAGTAAAACTCAAAAACAGTTTCTGAGCATGCAGTCTGGGGCTGCATGCTCTAAAAAGCCACCACGATCCCCAACCTGCCGCCCTCGAGATGAAGAGGGAGGAGAGAATAATGAGGACAGAGGAGCCGCCTCCTCCGAGTTCGGAATTCGCGGCCATCCTCGGGCGCGGCCTATAACCGACCCCTAGCAGACCATCCCCTTCCGTGACGTGATTCTCGCCCTCCAAGCTCCCCTCCGGCCGCATACATACGTCTTGGGGCGAGGCGATGGGGCACGTCACGGAAGGGGATGGCTTGCTAAGGGTCGGTTAGGCCGCCCCTGACATCTGGGATGTCTCGCGGCAGTCTCACGGGGTTTGGGAGGCGTCTGGAGACCTTTGCTGGGGTCTCAAGGGGGCGCCTCTTGGGCCTCTCTGAGGCTCTTGGGGACCTCTTGGGATCTCCGGCGGGACTTCGTGGGGGTGTCTTGGAGTTCAGAGGCCTGCTGGATGCATATTATGATCACTTGGGGAGTCGCTTCTTTGAGGCCACTTTGGGGCTGCTGGCGTGGCCCCTCGGGGTTTCTTGAGGGCCTCTGGGGGTGCTCTTGGAGGCCTACAGGGGTCTCCTGGGGCCTACTAAGGTGTCTTCAAAACCCAGATGGGGAGAAGGAGAGGGATGTGAAGTGGAAAGCCAGAAAAAGATCAGTGGAAACGGACAGCGAGGGATGGGAAATGCGGAAACTCATTCTGGGGGAGGCTGGACTTGAAAACAAAAATGTTGGACGTATTGTTTTGAAAGTTGGGCCTACACAACGGGGAAAAGAAAGGAAGGAGGAGAGAGGGATCAGGGAGGAGGGAGGGATGAGGAGAGAGGATATCTCGTGGCAGTCACCCGGGGCGGCTCTGGGGTGTCTTCAAAGCCTTCCTGGAGCCTGTTGCGGGCGTCTCCTAGGGTCTCGTGGGGTCCCTCTTGGGGGCCTCTTGGGGGGATCGGGGCCTCTCAGCGGACTCTTGGTGGCCTCTTGGGGGCTCCTTTTTTTCTTTGGGCTTCTTTCTGGGAACCTATGGTAGCCTCTTGGGCGGCTCCTTTTTTTGTCGGCGCCTCTTGGGAGCCTCTTTGCGGCCTCGTGGATGCGTCTTCAAGCGTCTTGGTGGCATCTCGGTTTGGGGAATCTCTTGGAGGCATCTTGGAGCTAACTTGGAGCTCGCCAGGCAAAAGGGTATATTGGGTGGGTAGAGGGAGGGGGTGGGGCAGGGTGGGGGGGGGGGAGCGGACTTGAAGCCGTGTTGGGGGTCTCTTGGGCCGTCTGGGCGGCTCCTTGGTCTTGGGGCCATCTGAGGCCGTCTTGGGACCATCTTGGAGGCCACTTGGGCCTCTTCGTGATAGTAGCAGTATTACTCTTCTTAGTGTCATGAATATCTTTACTATGCTTGGTAGTAGTAGTAGTAGTAGTAGTAGTAGTAGTAGTAGTAGTAGTAGTAGTAGTAGTAGTAGTAGTAGTGCCATTATGCGCATTCTGAGTATCCTTAACACTTATATCAATATTCGTATTACTACTATTCTTATGATTCGCCTCAGCATGAGAAGTATCCGTCTTCTTTGTAAATTTCTACTCATAAGCATTCGCAATATTGTCATTATGCGTATTATTACGTGTTCGTATCAATAGTCTCTGTAGTATTAGTATTCGTGTTAGTATGCTTAGTCTTAGTGTTCTCATTCGTATCCGTACTAGAACTAGTGCTGTTAGTATTCGTATTAGTCTTACAATTCGTCCGATGCTGATTGTAACTAGTATCCTTCATCTTCTATTCGCAGTAGTATCATTCGTATTCTCATGATTCTTACCAGAAATCGTACTATTCTGCTTATTCGTATTATTATTCATCGTCGTCTTGCTGATATTAGTGTGATTCATACGTCGCGTATTCCTCATCCTCCTCCTCCTCCCCCTCCTCCTCCGCCTCCGCCACCGCCTCTGCCTCTGCCTCCGCCACCGCCTCCGCCTCCGCCTTGGCCTCCGCCTCCTCCTCAACCTCCTCCTCCTCCTCCTCCGCCTCCTCCCCCTCCCCCTCCTCCTCCTCCTCCGCCTCCTCCTCCTCCTCCTCCTCCTCCTCCTCCTCCTCCTCCTCCTCCTCCTCCTCCTCCTCTACAATTACTCAATATGAAAATACTCTCTCCCTCTTCCCCTGATGGCGTCCGGGTGATGGCCGCGCATTCTCCGCGTACTGTTTTTTTACACAGGATGCCCGGGAAATCCCGGGACACGACTCTCGCTGAGGCGCCGGCGTCATTTTCGGGCCGAACGCCCCCCGCGTACTGTTTTTTTACACAGGATTCCCGGGAAACGGGTTTTCGCCTGCGTTTTTTTTAATGATGCTCTCGCTGAGGCGCCGGCCTCATTTCTGCTCCCGAATCGTTCCGAATCGTGCTCCCGCTGCAGCGTGGGCCTCATTTTCGGATCGGTGTTTGGCCTCCGTCGTTCAGGATGGCGCTCTCGCCCCAGCGCGGGCCTCTTTCTCGCGCGCCCATCCGCCCGCCACCACCGCGCCGCACCACCACCACCACCACCACCACCAGCAGCAGCAGCAGCAGCACCACCACCACCACCATCACAACCACCACCACAACCAGCACCACCACCAGCACGAGCACCAGCACCAGCACCACCACCACCACCACCACCACCACCA